ATCACATTTTTTTTATATATACAAAACTGAATAAACAAAAAAAAAAAAAAGTTCGTTGGACTCCGCTTTCAAATAATTTTTTCAAATTTCATTTTGTTTTTTCCAAGTTCGAGACAAAAGATTTTAGTATTTTGGCCCCACTTTAGCTCCATAAATCCCCAGCTCGACAATTACAAAAATTCACTTATTTTAAGAAAAAAAATGACGGATCTAGATTTGGATTTTTTCCAGTGCATCAGAGATCTGAGTGTTTTCACTTCATGTGATGATCTGCTGAAGGAATGAAGGAATATTTCTGTCCTTAAAATGCTTCCATACGATGCATTCTAATAGGATAGATCTGTATTTTTCCAATTATAAAAGTAAATCTTTTTATTGCAATATTCCAGATAAACTAATTTAAAGAAAACTTTTGATTTTTCATCATCATAGTTCTCAAAAATACATTCTGCTTAATTTTTATTTCTGTTTAGTTTTATTTTCAGTTTTTAATTCCTATTTGAGTTTAATTAAGACATTTTTTTTCAGTTTGAAATTGTTATTTTTTTTCCCTGTAAAAAGAGAAAACATTTAAACTTGGTGGCGAAACCAAATCTTGGCATTTTTTAAAATTATTTTTCAGTTTTAAAAATATTTTCCTATAATCTTTCTTTTTTTGTTAAATTATTTACAGAGGTTTTTGGAGTATTCAAATATTTTTTTTCTATCAAAATCTTTTCAACAATCTTTTCCATTCAGCTTCATTAATGTCCAGCTGGGCACCTTAGCATTCTGTTTTAGTTTTTTTTTTCCCATTTCATTTTCAAAAATTATTTTCATTTTTAAATTACTTTTTTTATTTATACAAAAATGAATTAAAAGAAAAAATAGCTGAACTCTGCTTTCAAATAGTTTTTTTTTTTCAAATTTCATTTTGTTTTTTCCAAGTTCGAGACAAAAGATTTTAGTATTTTGGCCCCACTTTAGCTCCATAAATCCCCAGCTGGACAATTACAAATTGTATTATCAAATTGTCTTTGGCCCCCTTTTAGCTCCGTAGACTTTAACCAACTCTAGAAGCCATAACTCCTTCCCTACACCGGTTGCAGTGTTTCCATGTAGAGAAACTCGGTCATGACGCTGGCGGCCATCTTGGCCAGGATGACATCACGCTCTCAGCAGGAGAAAGCCTGCAGTGTTTGACGAAGGCGGCGACTCATCCAGTGAGATCACCCCCCAATGCTCCCAGCTGCCATGACTCTAACCCCCCCCGCATAGAAACACTCTTACCTTGTTCTTCTCGTAGATGGGGGGTACAGCGAACAGCAGGATATCCGCTGGAGGACAGAGACACGCATTAAATGGAGGATCTACTCGCCGCTAAGCTAGCGCTCATTTAATGATCAGATCAACGCTTATTAATGCTGAAGCTGCAGAGATGGATGCGGATCCAGAAGATGGCGATGGTTTCCATGGTGCTTACCGAGGATGAGGATGGTGATCCCGTTGAAAACGGCTCCCACATAAGTCATCAGCCACATGACCACAGCCAGCTGGGAGGAAAACGGAGAAAAATCAGAGCGGAAACATTTAGGAGAGACATCATTCCCCACGCCTCCCCCAGGCCTCCCCCACGCCTCCCCTCTGAGACACGCTGCACCCGTTAGGCCGGGACGACTGGACGTGTTTGGACAAGGACCCACAGTAGTGGGAGGGGCCTCTATGGAGACGTCCTGTTAATAAAACAATCACTTATTTCAGGAATTATCCGACCCCCGGGCTCAGTGTATCACCTGACACACTTTCTATGCCTCAATGGTTGAACCGAACACCTCGCCATGTCAGTGAAAGAATAAGGCGCCACATAAACATTATAAAAAGAACAAACGGGGAAATTCTGCTGTTTGCTCAGAGATCCTCAGGCTGCTGTAAAACTAATCAGAGTCTGATTTGGGAATTTATATTAATCAACGAAAAGAAATGTAAGACTTTTTAACGCCAACGAGGAAACAGAGCGGAAACGTTACAAAGTTCCACCTTCGCAGGAATAAAAGGTTGAATCCCAAATTTAGGAGCAGGAACCTCCTGATGAAGCCGTTACTCTCCTCACCCATCGGTGAGGGGGATGCATGGAAGCCAGAAGACGGAACCATCCAGACATTTTACTGCAGGCGCTGAAAATATCCATTAATCCGATTTCATCCTCTTCCTGTTTCATTTCATTTAAACGACCGCCAGCTGCATTACGCCACAAACTGCACCAGATGTAGCTCCATACTCGCTAAGTTGTTCTTTCCTGACTTCTGTTTGTAATTTCTAAACTTGTTATTTCATCCGATGTCATGAAACGACGACAGGAAACACAAACAAACCTAAAATGTCCTCAAGCTTTTTGATTTTCATGTCAAATTCAGACGAATCGCATCGCAAACCTTTGGATGTTTCCATGTTTGCTTCATCAGTCATCTAGATCCACCCGGATTAACCCTTAATAGGGAAAGTTAGCGTTTCTGATACCTTACATACCCCCCCACCCCCCACAGTGAGATCTAGAAGCACAAGATCTATATCCAGCCATTCAGCAAAGATGCTGCTACATGGCTGTACATCTGATTTTAGCATTTGACCAATTAGATGAGCCCTTAAATGATAGAAATTAAGTTGAAAAAAGAAAATAAAAAAGGTTCAAAGCTAATTGAAAAGTTAATAAGCCTAGTTAACAATCATATTTAGGTTTATAAACTAAAAAAATGTTTTGTTGGACCAAAAAAATGCGTTTCTTTCACTCTGAGTGTTTTTCATGAATTTCTTAAAGAAGCACTTTTGTTATTTTTCTTTTAATTCTTTAAATTTTCCAAAGGTAATCAGGTCTTTTCCTGGATTCCAATAAGACGATTGGCTGGAAATGTTATTTTTCACCGTATTTCACTGAGGAGCCTATAAAAGGTTAAAACTGATCATCTGACTAGATTGGTGGAAAAATGACTAATTTCAAAACAAAAAGTAAAAGAAAAGTGAATTTTTTCTTCCTCATTGTGACTCATTCTCAATGTGGGTAAAGATGAAGGTATGGGGAAGCAGGGGCGGGGTCAGATACCTGAACTATGACACGGCCCCTCCCAGAGCAGCCATGCTGCTCCACCAACCCTCAGCTTACTCACGGCTGAAGGCGAGGCCAGGAATGCGGCTCAGCCAGAGAGGCGTCCCTTTCTCCGGTTGGCGCGGCGCCCGTTTCTACTAAACGCTTTAACCTTTCATCAGAGAGACGCTGGTCAGCTGGAATCCAAAGGACTGACATGCAGAGCAGGCGTTCACGCAAACCGCAGACAAACGTCAGCTTCTGATCCACTATTCAGCCCATTTCCTGCAGCGGCTCACCTTCTGGAACATTAGGATCCGTTTGATCCGTTAATCTGCCCGTTTATGGAGCAAAGGAAATGACCAAACTAAAAACACCTGAAACTACAGAAAGGGTTCATCCTCTCCTCTCCTCCCTGAAGGTTTCTTCTCTGATGCTAAACTGATGACAGGGAAATTAACTCGTGTTAAGTAGCTATAAAAAGACGTGGCGCTGCCCCCAGAGGCCGGCCTCCATGAGACGTAGCGCATTTTTCTAAAAGGGCAGCGTAGATGGGCGAGCGTCCGCGGCGCCGCTCCTCACCTTTAGAGAGTCCACAAGGTCCTCAACCAGAAACAGGTGGCTCATCTGCTTCAGGGCTCGGTTGATGTGGGTCAGGCTGGTGTCCACGTGCTTGCGGAACGTCTCCGGAGGGATGCTGACATCCTTCTCGATCAGCGCTCTGGATTGGGAGGAGGGAAGAAAATGAGTTCACGGAATGAGGCTGACTTCCTTTGCTTCATGGAGCTCAGAGGTTCGGCTCTAGAACATTAAGATCTGCAGCTCGTCTTTTCATTTAGCTCCATAACATGAAGAGTTATTAGCTCAAACATAAAGGTTTCACCATCATTAAGTTAAGAAAAACGCCAGGATAGCAGAGAGTATGGAGCTACATTACATACAAAAATAAAAAAAGAATAAACTAAAAAGTTATTTGGAAAGGAAAAAAGATTTCAACTTATATAAAAAGAGAAAACTACTATTTTTTTTAAATAAAAAACATATTTGCAACTTTTTTTAACTATAAAAACATTTGAAACTGAAACAATAAGGATAAACTGCAAAGTTATTTGGAAACGGAAAAATTAGAGAAAAGGATTTTTTTTTTTTTATTATTTTTCAAAATAAAAACAATATTTGGAACCAAAAAATAAATTTTTAAAGTGTTTGAAACTAAAAAAAAATTTAAAAAAAATTAGAATAAACCAAAAAGTTATCTGGAAAGCAAAAAAAGATTTGAATGTGAAAACGAAACATAGAGAAAAGGATTTTAAAACAAGTATTTTTCAAAAAAAAAAAAAATTGGAACCAAAAAATATTTTTTAAACCATAAAAACGTCTGAAACAAATAAATAAGAATACTCTAAAAAGTTATTTGGAAAGGAAAAAAGATTTCAATTTGGCAAAAAAGAGAAAAGGATTTAAAACTGAACTATTTTTCGGAAAAAAAAAACATTTTTAACTATAAAAAAATTTAAAACTGAAATAAAAAGAATCTAATCTGAAGCAAAACAGAAAAGGATTTTCAAAATAAAAAAAAAATATATATGTTTGGAACAATTTTTTTTCCACTATAAAAACATTTGAAACTGAAACAATAAGGATAAACTGCAAAGTTATTTGGAAACGGAAAAATAGAGAAAAGGATAAAAAAAATAAATAATAAT